AAGCTGTTGAAAGAGAAGGATAAATAACTATCAAAACTAAGGAGAGCTTTGGTTGGCAACAACACAACAGTTGAAATACTTAAATCCTCACATTAGAACAAGCATGCTTTGATCTAAATTAGTGTGTTTGTTGTTAAGTTGTTCACAGCCCTGTAGAAAGGCAGAAGTGTCTGTAGGCTTTATAGGAGACAGAAAAATCTTCAAACTTAAATATTATTACAAAATCATTTTAGCACTCCTGAAAATGTTTAGAAAATTCCAGGTGGATTACCCCTGAAATCTTCCAGACTGACAGGAGGAGCGGGTTGGGGGTGAGAGGGGGTCTCAGGAGGCAAGGTATGAAGTTAAAGGGACACTTCACCCGTTGAAACATGAATCTGTATTGACATTGGGTCATATATGTAGAAATGTGAAATACATTTTGAAGTTGGTGCCTTCTTGGCCGAGAAAAGGCAAAAAGTGTCTTTTTGGCTCATGTGGATGAAAGACACCAAATCCCAGAATGCACAGCACCGCAGGCCACTCCCACTAAAGTCCTCTATTTCAGAATCAGAAATACTTTATTAATCTCAGAGGGAAATTCGATTGTTACGGTTTCTCCAAAACATACAGTATAGCAGTAGAAATGTAGAAATAAAAACATTTACAGACATATTTACTTCAACACGAGGCCGTTTCCTCAACTGATTCAGAGATTTCTTCCAGAATTGATCTTGGAAATTCCTGGCAGAAAACAGACTCTATGTCTGAGTCCATATGCAAACAGTGAGAGCACCGACACTACCAGGCCGCCCCAGCTCGAGCCGGCCCGGGCGCCTCGTCCTCACCGCCGCCGACAGGCAGGCCTTATGTCTCTGCTGCTGAGCTGGCAGCGGCCGGTTGAATTTCACTATTTCCTGCTGTGTTCTCACATCGGCTCACTCAGCTTCTTCCGGAAAATTGAATAGGAGGCTGGAAGTAAAAATGTGGCTGTTTGCATTCACACATGCAGCTCCTCCTGAAATGTCAGGAAGTTTTCAGGAGTTTTATCCAAGTGTAAAGGCACTATTGCAGTTATTTATATATATATATATATTTTTTTTTTAAACTGACATTTCAAAGAAGAAAGTGAAAATAAACCCTGAAAAACAAACCGGTTGAATTGTTGAACTAATTTCATGAAAGCAGCACAATATTCTGAGTCACCTTGCATATAATGTAACATCATCAAGGATTTGTTTTCTCCGTAGCTTCCCCCCCCCTTGCTGGGACCTCTCGTCATTGATTTTGAGGTTAGCATACACCGAGTGGTTATTAAGATTTTCATTTGACCACCAGTTATAATTTGGAGGAAAAAAAAATCTCAGTTTTTGAAAACTGGGACTGAAAGTGTTTTCTGTTTTCTGTCTCTCTCCTGGAACTGTCAAATCTGCTTTCACTTCAGTGTAAAAGGTGATTATTCTATACAATACACCCTTACTTTGTTTCTTTGGATGACAGGATGATGAATGCAAACAGGATGAAATGATAAAAGCACAGGATTCAGAGTACATTAGCAAACAAAAGAGAACAGACACCTCCTCCCAAATGCCATCAGCACTCAAAAAGAGCGATTGGCATTTTGGAGGAAGTCTTTTTTTCCCTCTCCTTTGTTCACATTTGAAGCCCATTTATTCTATTTAAAATCTATTAAGGGTGCTATTGAATTTATTAGGGAACATCTGAAAACAGTCAATGAATGTAGACAGCTACATAATGAGGGAAAGTGAAGAAGAAGAGGAGGCAGGGGGGAGGGGTCTCTACATCGTGCATTAATGATGGTGAATAAACTGTGTATGAGGATAAAACAGTCTCAAAGTCCTGCCCTGATGTGCATCATATTGCTATTACATCTCGTCTCTGGTGGCACTCAACACTAATTGCTTTATGCTGCAGTGACCTTGATTGATCCATGATTGCCACAGGGTTACAGACGATGTGGTTTGTTTTGTTTCGTTGCTCGCTGTTCAGCTGTCCACCTACACCGTGTTCCGCTTTCGACCTGGAACTGTTGGAAAGGTTTTGACTGTGACTGAGATTTGTCTACCTGGAGGTTCTTCAGGCTATGTGTGAACGCAAACAGACACATTTTTCGCACTGACTTTACCCGGAGTTTCTCCTCCAGACCTCTAGTATTTTATCCACAGAAAGTCAGAGTGAGCTGATGTCTGAACGCTGCAGCATACACTCCGGAGATTTCAACTGGAGCCAATAGAAAGAGAATGACGTTTATATACAGTGACTGTCTAAAGTGTCTGCACGCGACCTCTACGATCTCCGTGCTCTAATTAAACGTCTGCATTCTGTTTTCTGTTGGTCAGTATGTTGTTCTCCTCTCTTTTCTGGATGTTGTCATTCCATTGGATTACACATAGCATTGATATAAAGACAAATATTCTCATTATAACGTCGTGTAGCGGACTCTGTTGCTTCGGCCGCTACTTCCGCGTTGTTTATTTACGTCACATCTTACCTCAGGAAATCCCCCGCCCCCCCTCCCCTCTCACAGGGAAAGCCCCCCGCTGTGAGGAGCATATGTGAACGACTAGGTCGGGACAATCTCCGGAGAAGTCCTCCTGTAAATATCTAGATATTATCCAGAGTGCACATGTGAAAACAGCTACAGTGACCTGACCCTGACCCCTCCCCCCCATCTGACAGGGATAGTCTCCAGCTGTAGTTGCATAATGATAATAAGAGCAGTCTTCCTGAAATGATCGAGAGATTTGCACATGTAAAAAAGAGCTTTATACCAGGAATGGCGACAGTAACCCATCAGGAAGGAGTTTCACTACAGAGATAATATAAATCATTACTTAAGTTTAATGGACTTAACTTTAAACAGACATATTTCCCTGATGTGCTGAAGTGTGAGTGAAGTGTGTGTGTGTGTGTGTGTGTGTGTGTGTGTGTGTGTGTGTGTGTGTGTGTGTGTGTGTGTGTGTGTGTGTGTGTGTGTGTGTGTGTGTGTGTGTGTGTGTGTGTGTGTGTGTGTGTGTGTGTGTGTGTGTGTGTGTGTCCCTCCTGTAGATTTGAGTGCAGTGTGGTGGGCGGCTGCTTTTATAAACCTGACAGGACAAAGAAAGCTTTTCATGTTAAAAACATAATTACCTGCTGGAGGTAAATTACTGCCATCAGAGGAAGCTTCCCATCAAAAAGTTATTTTTAAGATGACTCAAAAATAAAGTTTCTTAAAGCGTCATGCGCCAATAATCATCCAGGTTAATGGACCGTCGGTTAATGGACCAAAATTCTTCATCCTGTTTTCAAATCGGTGACTGTGAAAACACTCAGTGTCTTATTGAATGTGTTTGTTTATTAAATATCTACCTGCAGTTAGATTACCATAAGATCATCAGTTTTTGTTTTCTTTCTCCTTTGACTCTTCTTCTCGTTCTTTTAATTTCATTTTATTCTTTCATTTTATAGAACTCATTTGTTTGTTTGCCCTTCCTGAAGATGTTAAATATCGTAGAGAAAGGGAAGAAAACCTCGATGGAGGGAAACATTTTATGTATTTATGTAACACAGATCCAAGCTACTTTAAACAAACTGTAAATCATGTTTCTGTATTGTAAAGTGTTGTTTTTAGTATTTCCACATCACTGGGGGGACACAACCTTTTTGACACCGCACCACTTAAATTTTAAATATTGTCATCTTGAATATAAAATATGTGTACTGTATATGTGTACATGATGACAAGATTATCATAAGAGACTGAATATGCAAGTGAAGCCTAAATACAAATAGAAATGAAACATTGGAGTAAAAGATCGGATCAGACAGCTGCAGCTCAGCAACACCAAGATAGTAGAACACATTACCAGACCTCACAGCGCTACACTGGCTTCCTGTGAGTATCTTTGTGTTTAAAGAACTGAAATGTTTTGGGCCAAAATATCAGACATATCAGATCTCCCAGTTCGTTTTGACTCAACAAGCTACCTGTGATCAGCTCAGTTTGTTAGCCCTTTAAAAAAACACTTAATTTGTCTTAATTTATTTACTATTCTATGCAATCTTTTTTTTTTAACATCTGTTTTGGGGCTTTTTTTGCCTTTACTGGGTCAGACAGGACAGTTGATAGAGGTGGAAATCAGGGAGAGAGCGAGAGAGTGAGCGATGACATGCCAGAAAGGAGCCACAGGCCAGAATCGAACCCGGGCCGCCCCCGCTTCAAGGACAAACAGCCTCTGTACATGAGGCGCCCCCATGGCTGTCTCCATTTTCACTCTAAATATATAATTTTCTCTTTGTTTAACCATTGAAGTCAATATTAAAATGCATTATGAGTAATAACACAAAACAAGTACATGACAGAAAGTTCACTTACATTTGCAGTATGCAAGAGCAGTGACGTCTGGACATTTGGATTCATCGTGTATAAGAATAAATAATAATAAAAGTGATTGATTGAACAAACAATAGAGAAGTCGATGAAGCTTTTAAGTGGATTTTAAGACTTTTGAACAGTTGTGTTATGATGATTGTTGCCTGTCAAATAAGAACACACTGCACAAAAAAGTTGTTAAATACGCAGCAAGATAACTGTGGAAGCAAATGTGCAGCATTTCTCATCTAACAGACCTGTACACACTGAATCACGCTGCAGACCCACTGCACCAGCTTTGGTCTGAGTTTGAACTTGACTTCAGGCTGCTGCAGGTACAGAAAGCCCAGGATGAGAAGGACTGCAGGAGGCATCACTTCCTGTGCACCACGCAGCGTTCAGCTCTGATTAAACAAGAGGAAGTTGGCTTTCTGCACTTTACTGAAACTGCTGCTTACATGTAATCATGCGATGCTTTAATTGTGTGTTTTAGTGATGACTTTCAATGACTTTTGTTCATGCTATTATGCGCTCTCAAGTATGGTTGTTGATGTCTCTTTTATGATATCACGCGTTGCTGCAAGACAAATTCCCCGAGGGGCAAAAACATGTTTCACTGATGTTTCTTTTCTCTTTGACTTTTCCACAGGAAGTCCATGAAATCCTGAAAGAATATGAACTCAAGTACTGCTTTGTGGACCGGAACAAAGGCACAGGTAAACCTCACACTTAACCACACACACTCACTAACACACATGTACTTGTACTCCTATCCTTGTGGGGACCCTTACTGAATGTATTCCCATAAACACCATAACTAAATGACTTAACTCCAAAGCTTATGTGCTCATCTCTAACCACAAAATCCCAGGTCTAACCCCCTTTGAATGGACGACAATCCAAACTGTCCTCGGTCCTTAACAAGTCCTCACAAAGATAGATGAACAAGAGTATATGTATACACACTGTACACACACACTTCCAGCTTTTCTCAAATTCACTTGTGAATGAATGAATGTACAGCCATGCTCTATCTGTCATCACTGACTTGTATTAATAGTTAAATGGAAAGTTGTGCAGTGCTGATACTGACGGTGTGGATGGAGTGACACATGAGGCATGACTGACACATGACAAAGTGTAAAACACTGTCAAAGGTCAGGGGTCAGGCGTGCACATGGGCTGATACTTGTAACCTGTAACTCTAGAGACCAGGGTCTGCTTGTTTATTTATTTATTTAGCACAGTGATGGTATCTATGTGACCTCTACATGTTGGTTTAGGATACTAAGATGGCAGGTTAGCAGTAAATAACAAGTTGTCTCTGAGTTGACTCAAATAAAGGATTGTTGTTATAATATCAAAAAGCTTTATTTAAATGCCATTTTTTTAGGTAATTTAACCCCAAGGAATTTTAATACAACAGACATGCATGTGGAGTTTCCCTTTTATCTGATTAGTGGGACTAAGGATTCAGTTGTTTTAATTTTGTGATGTAGACAGTGTTACCATGCCAACGCCAAAAGGACTTGAGAATTTTTGCCAAACTGTGAATTTTGAATGGACCACCGCTGCTCTTCCTCTCACTCGAGAGGCAACTTTAGGTTAAAGATATGACAATTATTGATCATTAGAATATTGTCCTGATCTCGATATTAAAATCTGTTTTTAGAGTTTTCAACCAGCTGACGTGTTCATAACTTTAAAAACACATTTAAATGAGTTTGCAAACACATATATTCCATATTAACAACTACCTTAAGTTTTTGATTTTAATGTTTTTGGGCAAGTTTTGAACTCAGTTTTAATTCTTAGCCTAAATATTTATCATATATATATTATTATATATCATTATGTGACTCATTTGAAACAGTTTTTCTAAATCTGACTCACCTTCTGACCACAGATCGTTCTTTTAAGACTGGGCTTACAAAACACACACACACACTCACGCACACACACACACACAGAGCCATGTTCCCCCCTCTTGCCCCTTGAGTGTGGACCTTTCCAGGGAAATCTAACAGAGCCTATATTTAGTGCGAGCAGCCCGCCAAGCACCTGAAACATAACGCTTTGAGAAGGTGGACGTGGGGGGGGGGCGCGGGGGGGTGTAAACAGCTGAGATATCAAAGCACCAGTCTTACCAAAAGGTTAATGGAGTTTTAGAGCTAAAGAGATCCCTGATGAAACACGGTGCGAGCCCTCTTTGGACCTGCCAGCCCCCGGTGCTGCAGCTAATTAGGGCCGCTGCGGTGGCGTTTGGTGTTGGGCTCTGACGTACCGAGGGTGGGTGGAGTGAGCTGATAATACAGCGTCAAGAACATCAGAGAAGTACAATTTTTTTCCTGACAAACCCACAGTGATCATAGAAACGGTGCAATGTTTCTTTTTGTCTAATTCCCCCCATGTTTCCCCTCCTTTTTTAGAATGCTCTTCATCCCTCAGTCGCTGTTGTTCCTTTTCTCCTCCTAACCCATCATCATCAAACTCTGTCAGCTCAAAACACTTTTATCCTCCTTACACTTTTACAGTTTCTCCATTACACTTAACTTCAGTCGAGTACCAAGTCCTTCTTTCACACTTGAGAGCATGAGATGGTAAGGTCAGGGAGTCTCAATATTATTTTTTACATAAAGATAGAGAAAAGTTTAAAGTTTAAGTTCCATGCTCTCGTCAAAGAGGTCTGTTCAAAGCCTCAGGTGAAAACCGTCCGTAGCACATTTGTTACTGTAGGATGCTTCGTCCAATACAAGGAGAGAATGGGGGAATTTTAAAATGTTACAATTTCATTCAGCAGATGCTTTTGTACATCAAAAGATGAGGATCTTTACAGCAGGGAGCAACGTGAAGAAGTGGGAGTGGATTGTGATGCATTTTGAGCAAGTGGTGAGCAAAGGCAAACTGAGTCCAGACCACCTGAAGGGGCGGGTATACAAACTGTCAGAGACGAGTTAGCAAAGAAAACAGAGAGCAACGAAAACTGCATTCTCTTTTTTCACTTTTGCCTCAAATAGCACAAAAGGTTTTATAATCTGTGTAGTCCAGAATCCACTGGAGCTAGTTTGTGTTGGCAGTTTTTGACCTCATGTAAGGGGGTCATTAAGTTCAACTTAATTTATTAAGTTGAACTTAATGACTCTTGTTTATTAACTCTCTCAGTGCGACACAGTTGTTTATGTTGCCAGAAGCAGGCTGGACACTTTTCCTTGAGCTCGTTGCGTGTGTGTGTGTGTGTGTGTGTGTGTGTGTGTGTGTGTGTGTGTGTGTGTGTGTGTGTGTGTGTGTGTGTGTGTGTGTGTGTGTGTGTGTGTGTGTGTGTGTGTGTGTGGTGGGAGATCCCCAACTGCTTCTGTCCGAGGTGTGAAAGATTGTTTTCAAGCCTCTGCAGATTTTCACTTTGTGCATGTATGTGCTGAAGGATTGAATATTCAGCCTTGATCCTGTAACCCCCCTGACTTGTCACCTCTTCACTTTCCCCCAAACGCAGACCCCTCTACCATCTTTGTGTCTGAATGTGTGTGTGTGTGTGTGTGTGTGCTTGAGTGGCAGGGCGGTCAGCTTGAACTTGCCAGCCATTGGATCAGTTTTCATGGCAGCTGGATAACATCAACCCGACCAAGTGTTTACAGTCTGACTCACTCTCTCCTTCCTCTCTCCCCCCCGTCTCCTTTTCTCCTCCACCTTTTTGTCCTCTCCAATCTTACAGCTTTAAAAAACAAAAACACAATACAGCAGTTGATTTACTGACAGCACCCTGCGACTTGGTTGCAGTAAATGAGCTCATAGTGTTGAAAAGTTTCAAATGAAATGCCACTAAAGCACTGTGCACTGTTGGGTGGATGAGCCCAGGAGTTAAAGACTGAAGCTTCTGCACTTTATATAGTTACTGCTCTACTCACTGAGCTGACCAGCTCTCCGGAAAATAACTTTTAAAAGACATTAAAAACTTGCGCTTCCTTGGTTTTAATGAAGAAAGCCTCAGTGTGGATCACAACTTCCTCATTGACATTACAAAGCCAGCTTCTTTAACCCCCATTTTCCACATGAATCCATCAGGATTGTGTTTCCAGTGTGCAAGCAGTGCATCAAGCTCGACAGAATAGAACAACCCAAGAGAGGAAGTCAGACAAGGAAACGCACAGAGCATCCTGTCAATTTCAAAATAAAACACAATATGCAAAACCCATGATCGTGTTTTCCATCACATGATGACAAAACAGCACCAAACGAAGAACATGTTGTTTTTCGTTCGTTACGTTTTCGTCTCTGTATTCTCGCGTGATCTGGAAGCTTACCTGTGATTATTTACGGCTGCTCACGGCTGCGCTCAGTGAGTATTTGGAAATTGGGCTTATGGCTCCAGCACAGTGGTTGCATAAGTTTGCAATCTTTTTTTTTTTTCTTTACAACATGCAAGGTCAAAGTTAAATACTCTTGCAATGGACTGGACAATTTGAAGCCAATTCTTGAGTCCTATACCTTTTTATATATCGGTCTAAACGTGTCTCTTAAATTTGAGTTAAAACACCTGTATTGATAATTTTTTTGACAATAATCAATACTGTTAATATCAATGAAAGGATCAAACAGTTCTTTGTCACTCTCTGTAAAAAAAAACTAAGTATGAGAACGAGAACATTCCTCCGCTCCATTTTTCTTTTTTTGTCATCATCATGTGTCACCGTGTGTGTCTCCCTCCTGCACAGAGAGTAGGATCCTTGAGATTATTTATGAGAGTTCAGGTAAAAAAAAATCCTTCTTTTGTTGCAGGGCGCTCTCTGCTGAGGTATTTCTGACAGGTGGATCATCATTTTAGAATAGATGTTTGGAATTTTTGTGCGTTTCTCTCTGAGTCAGCTTCTACAAAAAAAAAGTTAAAATGATATATAAAATAGAAAGCATTATAAGCAAAAAAAAGTACAAAAGTACAAATTAAAAAAAAAAAAAAAGTTGTAGTAACAGCTAAGTGAATTAAAATAAACTGTACAGAAGCTATACACTGTGTTAAAGCAAATATATAATACAAAAAAAGAAGAACACTGTACAATGAAATGAAAATATAAATATGTTTTCTTGTCTCTACTTTCTACATCTCTTATTGCACCTGAGGTTATCGCACACATATTTTTCACATTATATAATTACAATGTTTTTTGTTTTTAAGGTTAATATTGCACACTTGTCCATTTAGTCTGTGATGTGTGGGGTGAAGTACTTCCTTCCCGTCTATTATTTACCCATTTTCATTGAATTCTCACAGCGTATAGGTTTAATTTGTGGAGATGGTTTTTGTTGATGCTAAGGCGTTGTTACTGTTGTGGATGTTTCACGAGTGGAGCAGAAAATGTTTCATGGGAAACACATTTGTACGCCTCTAGTGTCTGAACCTCTTCTGTTGTTGATAAAGAATGAATATAGGTAAACAGCACTTGATATTGAAAGCAATGCTTCTTTAGCTTTTACACACAAATACACAGACATACACAAACAGATATACACACTCACACACTCTGTTGAATAGTAAGACCTTTGAGCTGCTATGGAAATTAGACGCACAAAGACGGAGCTGAACTCCCGTTCCCTTACTCAAGCTAGCATCGGCTCTACTATCCGAGGACAAACAATGTTTACTTCACTGAAGCGACATGAATAAATAATATACGACTTAATAACCATGGTTGATCTGTGCAGGAAAAACAACAACACAAACAGA